AAAGTTTACAGAAAGGTATGTTATTTATAGAATTTGCATAACTGAGGCATATACCTGTCTTGAGAATCCAAAAAAGTACACTACTTGGATTGTATGATCTATATTTAAGAGTTGAATCAATAATCATTGCAGCAACGGTACATGAAGAGCTTTCCATGGGACGGCCACATTCAGCACAGGTCACTTCTTCTAGGCTTCTGCCATTGCTTCCTGGAACTATCAACCTATTACAATGGTGTGGGGTTCTTAGCTCTTGTATATATTCTTCCATTGCTATCAAAACCCCTTTCTCTTTTGCCTTGTCCTTCCATTTCTGATACTCATTAACACATTTCAGGAATGTTTCTCCTTTTGCTTTCACCATCTTCTCTGTTCCTCTGCCCATCACAGCCCATCCTTCCTCGCTTCGATCAAAGCTCACAATTGTCATCACTTCCTGCATTATTGGGTCACTCTCTACTGTTTTCCCCTGCTGTAACTTGGAGTGCCACATGCTTTCTACTCTAACCCAGAAGTACCATATTAATGTCAGGTCCTCCAGTGTACTGCTCAGCTTCTCTGAAATTATAGCTTCCGTGTTCTTCTTAACTTTCTCCCCTGGATTGCTTCTCCCTATGTATATCATTTCCAGTGGGATTTCCAGAGTCTCAGCCATAGCATATGCGCCTCTTGTGAATTTCCTAATCCACTCAAGATCTTCACCTCCATACAAGCATACGTATTTCCCTTCTGATATCTGAAACAAGTTTGCACTCCAGTAAGTTTAAGCCAGTAAATTTGTGAATTTGCATTTAATTGGAAAATGTAACATCTAGTATCAGTCTCAGTTTTCAAATAGCCTAGTTGAAAGGAGATATTCTGCATTTTTCCTAATGAAGTACTAGTATGAATTGTTTCGCATACCCAGCTTAGTGGACAAAACACATCTGCCAATAGCTGGAGTCCCCATGTTTGTTTCGCCCAAATGGATTCCTCGTCAGAAACTGCGAAAGGATATGCTAAGCATCCCCAAATCCACATAATGTGTAAAGCATTTAGGTTGACAACCTTTCCTTGCTGGTCCAACACAACAAGTATGGGCTTCTTCTTGAAATGCCAAATATCTTTAATGTACTTAATGACTGCTTGCTCTATCTGCCAAGGATCATAAATTGAGTACCATGGCATTGTTGATCGTAGGTCCTCCAACTTCTTCCGTTTCACTTCAGTACATGGGGTTGCCTTGTTCACAACTGGAAACCAAACGACTTCGTATGGAATAGGAAACATGTCTGGTTCCTCACGTGACTCGAGATGCATATGTCCAAGAATCATGATCTCTTGGTCAGAGAGATCGAGATCTGATATGAATAGCAGCACAATTTTACTCCTCAATGCATCACTGCTTACCTGAGGAAAAAGATAGAGAAGGTTGGCACTGACACATGGAAATATCAGACAAAATAGCATTTACATTGAAGTCTAACCCTTTGCTTGGTAGAACAATCAAGGAGTGGCAGTTGATCATCCTTGAAGTCAAACAAACCTTGAAGAATTTCCAAGTTGTCAGCGTGAGATGCATCAAAAAGGCGCACAAGTGTCTCGAAAGCTTCAGTTTGTTTGTTATCATCTGCATTAATACATAAATGTCCAACATCACCAGGATAAAAAGGTGTCCCGGTTATAGATGAATTCATTTAAGTGGTGCAAATCCACATAAGGAATTAGATTTACCCATCTGCTTATGTAAAAGGGCAAGCTGAGTCTGAAGGTGATTGTGTATGTTATTGAGCTTGTGAACCAGACTAGAAAGTTCCCAAGCCTCTGACATTGATGCTATATTTCTAACATCAATCCAGAAATTAATTAAAAAAAGAAAAAAGAGTTTGATTTCCAAAATCACCAAAGCAAAAATATAAGGAAGTTAAGAGCAATTTAGGATGATTCTCATAGAGAGGCCAGACAGACATACCGATTCATACTCAGGAGGCCTGAAATTTGTGATGCAGAAGCCACAATACCACGAATGGTCCAATAGACAGCAATGGAAACCAAAGTGGTGGTAGCCAACGTCTGCGGCGTGTCAGGTGTTTTGTACTGCGAGGGGAGCTCCTCAAATGCCAAAATGCAAGTGGTCAGATCCAACATGACCTTGACAATGTTGCTGATCACTTCATACCTATGTTGCAATCCCAGAATATCCTCTTGATTCTGTGTTTCAGGAACATGCTTCAACATAGCAATAGACGTCGCAGAGAGTTGGTGGTATAAAGCTGAGTTATCAGCTGGACCTCCCCAAAGTTCAATGCAAAGGCTGCTAATGCTATCACCACCTTTGAATCCCATGAATAGCTTGAAAGCATGCCCAGAATTCCCATAGTTGTCGAATGAGAGTTTCCTCCAATAGAGCACTTGTAAGATATCTGACAAAACCATTGAAATCTCTAACATCAACAGATAATTGGAAGCGTGTACACTTGATGGGGTATAAACTATTGGCCGTTGTTGTGGAGAACTCAAGTTCATGAGAGGTTTGATATCTCTAATTGAATATAGATGCTACTTGTTGTATCCAAAATCAAAATCGAAAGTAGACAATTTTCTTAGCTGCTTACCACTGTAGGAAAGTGAAATTGCTATTAGCAGTCAGCTGATACCTGTATTAAGACCTTGTACTTTGTCGTGTATGAATTGTTGGTGTTATGTTTATATGAGTTTAAAAAAAAAAAAAACAGAGAGCAAGCTAAGTTTTTCTTTAAATGCAAGCTGCCAAGTGTCTAAAGTTACACTACCTCCAATTCTAAATATAAGAGTTAACTGGCAGTCTTAAATATAAGACTCCAATTCACTTTGTCTTCTAAATTTATAATATGTTCTGAAAAATATCTCCATTGATTGTAAAGTATTTCCACTCAAGTGTAATTCTAGTATACATGATTGAATTAGGACAATTTAAGAAAATCAACACACATTTGTTATAAATAACTAACATAACTAATTTTCTTAATCTCCTCAAATTAGTTATCTAACTCTTATATAAAGGACCGGAAGCAGTATTAGACCTTGACTTGTCTAAATTTAGTTGAGTTCAGCCTCCAATAAGAAGTAGCTCTCCTAAAATATCTACCGCATACATATGAACTTGAACTCAACTACTCCTCTAGCCCTCCTTATAAGGCAAAAAGAGGAGAAAATTTTTTTGGTCCTATATACAAGTCACATTACTAAATTTTTCATTTAAATCATAATTTTACTATTCATTTATCATTATATTGACTTTGTACTCTTAGGATAAAGTGTATATTAAAATTAAATAGGGGTAAGTTTAGAAAGTCACTATCTCTTGTCTTAAATATAAGAGTTAGTTGAAATTCGATTTAGTCCTAAATATAAGACTCAAATCTATTTTGTCTTCCATATTTATTTATTTTTTTAAAGCAGTCCACATGATAATTACACATATTAAATGGTTTTATTCTAATGCATACAATTGACAAAAGTACTGTAGGAAAAACAACACTCATTTATTACAAACACCTAACTCAACTAATTTTTTTAATATTCTCAAACTAGTTATCTAGCTCTCATACTAAGGATCAGAGGCAATATTAAATTTTAAGGCAGAGTTGATGAGATTCAAGGATTTTTTTTTTTGGTGAAACATGTTAGAAGTGATTTGTACATAGTAGCCGAAGATTATTATTTTTAAGACAAACTTCTAGCTATGACCATTGACCAACGCTTATTGGTTTAGCTCTTATTTGGTGAGAAAGGCAACTGCACAGTCACCAGAGGGAAAAGTTATCTTAAATTCATTCAGGGCAAAGACTATTTATTTAAAGTTACAAAAGATTTATCTACCCATAGTCTGGTACAAGTTAGATACTTCATACAAGCACCTAAAATATCTCCTTAATTCCTGTTTATCTCACATTATTCCTGCACCAAACATATCAAATTATCATGTCGTATATCCTCTAGGGACGTATTTTAAAAAGTATTTTTGGCAATTATAAAAGAGAAATAAATGCACAGAGCTAACACATATGATTTCATTTTAGAATAATACAACTTCCTATGGTTAGTTAACAAAACATCCTTGCCAGTATAAAGGAATAGAAGGAATAGATAAACCTTTTTAAATTTTTCTAATTTTTCTCAAGAGAGCTTAAGCAACTTGGTCAGAAAAAATAATCAATTACACTTGAATCTTTGTCGCTGACAATCTCTAAGCAAACAAAGGATATAAAAACACTTAACCTTCTCACTCGAAACAAGAACAAGAAAAAACAAAAAACCAAACCTGGCAGGAAATTTTGCTGATTATGTGGGACATGTTATCAAGCATGTGAGGAGGAAGAGCATTGCTACCCAACGCATCCAAGTTTGCTTGCTTCCCCTGTTCAAAGTTATGTCAGAATCAGGGAGGGACAAGCTTTAAGAAAGAAAAGGCAAAATGGCAACACTGTCACAACCTGAAAAACGGGAGGGATGGCTGTGGTGATACGGTGAAAGATGTCTTGAACGACGTTAAGAAGAGGTCTAACATCAATATGTCCGTCAACAGGAGCATGAGTGGCCACAACTTGTTGCATCAGTGCATTGTCTTCTGATGCTGATAGTGTGAGGCGTTTAGCCATTGGTTGCATTGTTTGGGGTACCATTGTAATCTACTTCAATGGAAATTCTGGGCAAGGAAAAGAAGGATCAACAGACGCAAGGCATTTGGTAATGCCAGTGGCTTGGTGAGGTGTAAATGATGTCTGATTCTGTTGAATTCACTTTTTCTTTTTGGGGTTGGTAATAATTCTGTTGAACTTCTATACCTTGCTTCATTTTGGGATTAAACCATGAGGTAAGGTATTGGAATTTGGGAATTTCTAAAAAAGACTTGTCCCCTTCTGTTCTTACCTTTTTGCCATAGGCTTAACAAGGCCATTGGAATTTGGGAATTTCTGAAAAAGACCTGTCCCCTTCTGTTCTTACCTTTTTGCCATAGGCTTAATAAGGCCTTAAAAGAATAACAAATAAATAAAAATAAAAAAATTTATTGAAATTTAAATAATACTTGTAGATTTTATTCATACCGAAATGTTATATACACCATCCCTACTCCATAATTTACAAAGCTAACACCTCAGCTGGAATAGTATGTGCAACTTCAGACCATATTGGTCAGAACTATTATACAATGAAATGATATTGTTGGAGTTACCTTATATTGAGCTCACTGATTCCCAGTGAGAGATAATTTCTGGTAAATTTGAGTCTACAGGTAACGTTAATGAACGAGCTGAGATTGAAGTTCTTGTAGTGTCGACTAGTTTGAACCATTGGCTCGCAGGATCACAGGTAGGATCTGTGTTCAAGCATTTGCAAGTGTTGGTAACGAGGTAGTTGTTGGAGTCCACATCTAGACAAACAGAAGACCCCTTTGTGAGTTTTGACGAGAGGTGCATCTTAGATTCCGATATTATGTCCCATTTGGAATTAGGCCCCGAACATATTATGCTTAGTTTTGCTGGCATCCCTACATCGTCTGCCTGTAAGCAGAAATATGTTCCCTTCATTGTTAGTATCTTCTGGGGCGTGTATTTCCAGCCTTCAGCTTCAGAGCAGGATCCCAACGTCAATGGGTCAAGCAGTGATTTTCTTTGCACGCAGAGACCCGTCAATGGATGGAATATTACTTTATATGGCCTGCCTTCTGATATCCCTGGCCCTGCATATATTTCAAAATTTCAATATTAACAAATCATAAGTGGAAGGGAAAATCTATATACCGGAGTTTCAATCACTGAAGTCTGGTAGTTATTCTGATATAAGCATGCCATATGAATCATTAGAAGAGTTTGAAGCGATAATTAGCGGGATTAAACCAGGCAAAGGGATCAAAATTTCCCATTGATTCTTTCGGATATGCAAAAGAATGTGTGAGAAGGACAAAAAACGAGAAGGTGGGGCCAACGAAATCCATTTATATGGGTTTCACTTTCTTCCCTCATTACTCTCTTTTACCGGAGACTGGGGGGAAAAAGCTGTTTATTAAAGTAGAGAAAGAGAAGGAAGGTGAGGCCAGTACAATTCATCAAGCCCACTTTTTCAAGCCCCTTTGGTATTTGAAAGAATCCGAGGTCACTGAAGTCTCAATACAGAAGATATTCTTGGATTTCAAGAGTATCTATAGATAATTCAGATTGCATTTAGACGTCATAAAGAATGAGGTGTTCGGATTCTCTTCTAGCGATCCTCTCCTATCCTCTCTAGATGCTATTGAATAGCACAAGGGAATGAAAGTTCATACCTCGGAAAGGAGATTGGAGAGCAGAGATCCTCTGTAAGAAAGAAGAATTCCTGATATCACGCCAATCCCAGTTGAGAAGTCCATAATACTCATTCATTCCAACAACACCTTGCCTGAGGTAATAACTTCCGACAAGGGTCCATAATGCCCAATCCAAGTCATGTTCAGCTGCCAAACCCAAGAAGCAACTCAAGTACCTATTGTCGTTCTCGTTGGTGCCTCTTAAGTCCCCACCAAACTCGCTCACAAACAATGGCCAGCCTTGTTCTAACCAAATAACCCGACAGTCTCATCACATTTCCTGAAACTTGGCCACACACATGATTTGGGTTGCCATGGACCCATGCTTGACCGTCCGTGAAGGCATACCAGTGTACTTCAAATACAAGTTTCCTCTGAAACGACAGCTTTACTGGTCGTTCCCTGATGAAGGACAAGTCTTTGTCGAAATTTAGGCCAGAGAGAATCACCAGAACGTCCTTGTTTGCTGCATGCACTGCTTCTGCTCCTTTTGTCATGTACCTTCACCCAAAATCAAGACATCCGCCTCTCAATTTCATTTCATGCATGTCGATCGATAGTTATAATTTCCAATTGTTGG